CAGTCGATCTGCGCACGCAAGGAGGTGCTATTCCTATTCTTCTTCTGGAAAAACGAAAGAGAGCTTCAAAACAGACTGCAGCGCCATCTGAAGCAGGGAGCATACTTCCTGCGGACACTTTTTAGGCTGAGTGACCCATCTTGTCTTGTACTATCTTTGTTAAAGTTTAGTCGCAAAATAATCAGTGCGATACCTCTGCTCGATCCTCAATCTGTTCGACTATTTCGACTATTTCGTCTCTTTTCTATTTTTTTCCCACAAAGAGTTTGACAGGGGACGTAATTACTAATTACTAGATCTTCTGAACACTGAACAATGAATGGTAGGCTACGTATGTGCCCCCCCCCTCCACTCTCCACACTTCACACTCCACTGTGACTGTGACTCCAGTAGGCCTACTCCACTCCGCTCCCCCCACGCCATCGCCCCATTCGCCAGCCAAACCATAATAGCGGGCCTACAGCTCGAGTGCTTAGGTGAAATAATCCCATGTATAGGGCCTACTTTACTTGACGCGATTCTGATTTAACCACCAGTGTAAGTTGTTGATATTCTCAGCTTCGGACAAGATGGCCACCTCCTCCCGAAAGAAAGACCCGTCTACAAAGCCTGCGCTTCCATTCTCCTGCTCATATTGTGATTTTGCTGTTGACTACCATTACAAAGGCAGGAAACCACCATTTGCGAAGAATATTTTGTGAGTTAACCTTTTACTGCAAAAATAGGGTCCTAGAAGAGTCCTAGATTTCCGTTCTTGAGATTTTGTGGTAATTTGCGAGATTTAGTATCATCTTTCTTTCTGCCATATTCTGCGAGGACTGGGAAGAAGCATTTTTTGCATCGAATTCAATTTGTAGAGCTGGAGATTTTTAAATGTCTGAATATTCAGATACTTCAGTTTTGGTTGGGGCAACGTTCCCAGACTATACTTCATCAGAGTGGTGATGAGACTCGGCCTCAAAGTGTGCAAGCCTCACACATGCTGTTGTGGATCTTCAAGTCGATGCTCTATCCTTGAACCCTCCAGCCTCGACCGGGGCGGCGGCAAAAGGCCAGATGGCATCACCATCTTTCCTTTCGAGGGTGGCAAATGCCTCGTTTGGGACGCCACATGCTCCGACTCGTTCTCACCGCTGTCCATCACCTCCTCTGCCTCTGCTCCCGGCAGTATATCGCCAAGAAGGCAGAGGAGTCTAAAATTAGAAAGTATGCAGCAGACCTGCCACTCATCCCGATTTAATCGGGATAACCCGATTTTTTGCCCCAAATCTCAAGCATCCCGATTTTCCCGATTTCGATCGCTAGTATCCTGATTTTTTGTCGTCAAAGATAGTAAATAACAAGATGGGCCACTCAGCCAAAAAAGTGTCCACAGGAAGTTCGCTCTTTGCTTCAGATGGCGCTGCAGTCTGTTTTGAAGCTCTCTTTCATTTTTCCAGAAGAAGAATAGGAATAGCACCTCCTTGCGTGCGCAGATCAACTGCTGTTCATCAGCAGTTCGGGTTCGTTCAGGGGGGAGTTTTAGGTTTTTAAAATTTTAATGACCTCTCGCCTTTCATCACCCCCAGTGGGTCGGGGGGATATAAATAGACCCACTGCACCGTCAGCAGGAGGTGCAACCCCTTCACTGGCGATTTGTAGCCCATGGACATCTACGCTCAGGTGCACATGGGCGACACTTGCTTTGGTGTATCGTCTGTCTTCTATCGTCTTTCTTCCCTCTTCTTTCGTCCTTCCCCGAGCTGACCGGGGAATAAAATAAAAATAGTTGGCTGTCCCATCAACAGGGGGTGTAACCCCCCCGCTGGTGGGATGCCACTCGTACGTCACTAGCTCTCTGACGTAGGGGTGGCATCTTTTAGTCCGCTCTTGCTATGTCTTCTATCCATCTATCTTTCTTTCCGTTCTGTCGACCGAAGGTCCGGTCCAGCAAAGAATAGACACCAAACCCCCCGCAACGCGAGGCACCCCGTTGACCGTGGGGTGCGACCCGTACGACCGGAGAAGGACCCTGGTGGCTGAGGTGTGGCTTTCCTCACCAACACGGCACTTTGGCCCTGGATTCGGTCTAGACGGGCGGGTGCAGTGGCCTACTGCACTCAATCGGTTGCGACCGGTTCATAGAACCGGTTTTGGCCAATCTTGGTTAGAAGGCAAGATTTCTTGCCGTCTGATTGGGAGTATACCTCCAGGGTAGCCCTGACACCAGCTATGGACTTCCGAGCGGTGTCCCCTTGTTGGACTCGGTGGCGGGTGGGGAGCCCTGGAGATGAAATAAAAGACAAAATACACATGGATTCAACCAAAAACATTTCTCCCACCCCAATTCCCAACAAGTCCCAGACAGGAGAAGCAGGTGCAACTCCTGGCCTGGGCAAAAGAAAGAAGGGCCTTTCGGGCGAAGATGCTGACAATGTCAGCATCTGGGACATACCCAAGAGAACATCGTTGGGGTGGTCACCATTTTTGGTGATCTCCCCAAAAGATGAAAAACAAGACACAAATCTGACTACATTAATTGTCTTCAAAAATCACAAATCACTCAAACATTTCGGTATTTACAAGCCAAAATATAAAAAAAATCTAGGATCCACGGACCTCCTGATACAAGTCAGTTCCAGCATTGAATCAGGCAAACTGTTGGCCTGCACCTCGTTTGGTGGCATCCCTGTATGTGTTCAGCCTCACAGGAGTCTGAACACATCCAAGGGTGTCATCAAAAGCCGAGAGCTCTACGGCTGTACCGAAGAAGAAATGGTTCAGGAGGTCGATGGAATTGTCCATGCTCGTCGTATCAAAATACGGCGGGATGGCAAGGAAATCTGTACCAACACGTGGATCCTTACCTTCAACACACCCACACCACCAACAAAATTAGACATCGCATACTTAGAACTCGAAGTTAGACCATATATACCGAAACCGATGCGCTGTTTCAACTGTCAGCGCTTCGGACACACACAGCTACGCTGTCGTCGTGGCGCAGCGTGTCCTCGCTGCGGCAAGGAGGGACACTCTGGGGAGACCTGCTCTGCAGATCCCTGGTGCCCAAATTGTCGACAGGGGGGTCACTCTGCATCTTCGACGGAGTGTCCGAGGTGGTGTCAGGAGAAAGCCATCCTCACACATAGGGCCCAGTACGGCGGAACGTTCGCTCAAGCAAGAGCAACGCTATACCCAAAAGGATCGACGCCAAAGAATACAACAAAAACATATTCAGAAGTCCTGAAGACTGTCCCAGGGTCAGTAAACCCAACCCGAAAGGTCCTTCAGACAAATAGAAAGCAGAACACCTGCAAAAATCAACACTCCAGTCTGGAGACGGAGGAGGACATGGAGTCCACTTCCTCCACTCCTATCTCTCCCTCTCTCCATACGCCATCTCCCCACACCCCCTCTTCATCACCACCCTCTCAGCCATCTTCTTCATCCTCATCCCCTTCATCATCCTCACCCTCATCATTCTCATCATCACCCCCATCATCTTCACCCACAACATCCTCCCCATCATCATCCTCACACAAATCACCACATCCTACACCCTCATTGCTTCAACCTCCATCCCATCATCCTTCATCCAATAAAGCCCCTCCACCCACTCCCCGCACCCGCTCCCCCTCCTGTACCCGCATTCAGGACTCCGGTCCTCCTCCCCCTCCACATTCTCCCTCAAAAAAGGCTGCGGTCCACCGTGACCGCAGCAAAACAAAACAAAGACAAAGGTCACCAACGACCAAAAAAAAATGTATCGAACCCGTGCCTTCAAAATAAATTAAAATGGCAGTTCTTCAGTGGAACATTCGTGGTTTGCGTGCAAACCAGGCAGAACTCTCTTATCTTTTGACTTCACACACCCCAAATGTAATCTGTCTACAAGAAACTAAATTGCCAACACCCACATTCACATTAAAAAACTATCAAACTTACAACCAAATATACACCGACAACCAAATCGCCTCTGGGGGCAACTCCATTTTAATAAATAACCAAACACTACACAGACAAATACAACTAAACACAACACTTCAAGCAGTTGCGGTCAGGGTCACCCTACACCGTCCTATAACTATCTGTTCAATATACATCCCCCCAAATTATCCTCTATCTTTAAGAGAACTAATAAACCTCAGAGACCAGCTCCCACAACCCTTCATCATGTTGGGAGATTTTAATGCCCATAGCCCTCTTTGGGGAAATGAACCAACTGATACTAAAGGTAAAATCATAGAAGATTTCTTAATAAAAACCAGTACTAGTATTTTTAACGACAATTCCCCAACATTTCAAAATTCAAATAACCTAAACGTTTCATCCATAGATTTAACCCTTTGTCATCCTGACCTAATTCCAGACTTTCAGTGGTCGGTCCTGGACGACCCACATGGATCGGACCACTTCCCCATCACCCTAATTCCAGACATTCCACACCGAACTCCTATCCCAGACCGTTTCAATCTTAAAAGAGCGGACTGGGATGGGTTTCACGTGGAATGTCTGGAGAAACTCAATCCATCTCAAACACAAACACAAACTTTTGAACGATTTCATGAAACCCTTCTCGAGATCGTTCAAAAGCACATACCAAAATTATCCACCAAACCCCGAAGAAATAAATGTTGGTTCACTGAAGACTGCCAAAAAGCTGTTGCGGCCAAAAAATCAGCTCACAGGAAGTTCGTCAACTCTAAAACTAACGAAGACCTCATTAATTTCAAAATTGCGCGAGCCCAAGCACGCAGAAAAATCAGAAAGCCAAGAAAACATCTTTTCGAAATTATGTCTCAAAAATCAACAACAACACACCAATGCACAAAGTCTGGAAGATGATAAAGAAATTAAAAGGTACTAAAAAAGACACAATCAAACACATCCTTAAACCGAATAACTCCTTCGTAGAAACCGAAAAAACAGTTGCTGACTGTATAGCATCAACTCTCTCCGGAAATTCCTCTACCCACAATTACAACCCTGAATTCCAAAAAGTAAAAATGTCTTCTGAAAAGACAACTGTTGATTTTACCTCTTCAAATGAAGAACACTATAATTGCAGCTTTTCTCTTAACGAATTAAAATGTAATATTGCAGAACTATCAAACACAGCTCCAGGCCCTGATCAAATACACAACGAAATCATCAAACGTCTTCCAGACGAAACACTCCTATTACTCCTTGATATTTACAATGAACTCTGGCATTCTCAACAATTTCCGAACAGTTGGCGTCTTGCCACTGTTATACCAATCCCAAAACCAGGAAAAGATCACTCTAACCCATCAAACTACCGTCCCATAGCCCTTACAAACTGTTTCTGTAAACTTATGGAAAAACTTATTAACAAACGTCTAATGTGGTTTCTCGAAACCTCAAACTCCTTATCAAATTTTCAATGCGGTTTTCGCAAAAATCGCTCTACTATTGACCATCTCGTCCGACTTGAAACTTTCATTCGGGAAGCTTTCATTCGAAAAGAGCACCTTGTGGCTATTTTTTTCGACTTAGAAAAAGCATTCGACACCACATGGAAACATGGTATTCTGAAAGACCTGCATGACTTGGGCTTACGCGGAAATCTTCCAGAATTTATACGAAACTTTTTGAAAGACCGATCATTTCAAGTAAAAGTAGGTTCAACATTATCAAATTTACACACCCAAGAAGAAGGCGTCCCTCAGGGAAGCATCTTATCGCCCATTCTTT